TAATGAAAATATTTTTAAACTAGTTTTTTAGTTTTAATGACAAAGGTGTCTTAGGTTAAGTTCCATCTGATGAGGAAAATATCAAGTGCAACAGAGGAAAAAATAAAACAAAAATGAATGCAAAAATATAAAGGTTTTAAAAAATTTTAAAATTATCAAATCGACCTATAGTTATAAGTTAAATGTTGGAAGCATTTTTCTCAGCATTATCTCGCGTTTTTTATTTTTGTCGAGAGTAATTAATCGCTGAAAATTTGTTTCTGGATGAGTCTGTGTGTCAATGAAAAATCCATTTCGCGCGCGCGCGTTAATGAAATAAATATTTGGGAATTTCTTTCCCTAGACACTAGACGCGTTAAGGTGCGTTCTCACTAACGCGAGGAACGGGCCGCGGAGAAAGGAATGGGCCAATGAGACTCCGTGAGGAGGAAAGAAACTTCCGATTTTGTTTTCGATCCCGTGGGACGAGATTTTATTTATCGGCGTGGTGTGCCACGTGCTTACGTACAGAAAATAATGTTAATGCAAGAGCGCGATGAGAAGAGCGCGACCGGACGGTGCGACGGACGAAGTAAGAGTGAGGTGGTTTTTCTGCGTGTGCACCGCCACGGCGATCCAGGCATCCGGAAGTAGAGAGAGCAACGGTCGCAGTGGTCACTCTTCCGCTCTGACCAATCAAAGGCGTGGTCAGGCCAATCAGATGCCCCTGCGGGACCGCATCACGAGGTGCCTGAGTACGTTAGTGCTGGCGGCCGAGAGGTGTCAGCACTTTTCCTGCTCGTGTAGAGGGTTTCTCTAGAGTAAAGATAATATTAGACTGAATTTTTATTTAATGATTTTTATTTAACGGATGCGATTTACTTTTCTTAGTTGTACACTTCTCAACGGCTACGCACATACTGTTCTAGTCTGGTGACCACTACTTGTTAGCGTGGTTCCCTAGCCTTCTAGTGACTTTAGAGAGCGCGACCATCGGTCGTACCGCTACACTCGCGCTGCTACAGCTGCGCGCTGTCGGCCGAGAGGTGTCGGCACTGCGCTGGTGCGAGACGCTACAAATAACTTAAGTCAAACAAAAATTCGAGAACAGCAATGAACATAAACAAATTATATGGTTTTATTCGTTAAATCTCCAAAGTACACTTACATAA